AAGCATCATGCTTTCTCTTCAAATGCAACAAAACGCCAGCCACGCAATGACCGCGTTTGAACGAAAAACTACAATTTGACAATTTATGGGTATGCGCCAGTTTCTTTCGGCTCATTCCAACTCACGATGTTCTGCTAATAGGAACGGAGGCAGATAGTTTCTTCCTTCCTCCGTTTCATGTTAGGTAGTAACAGAAAAGCAGCCCTTGCTTTAGGAGCATCTAGTTATGTAGTTGGTAAGACTGGAAGGTATTTACGGAAAAAGGTTTCCGGGGTCTCCACTAGATTGAATCAAGTCTCCAAGTATAACATATGAAGCGCTACCAGGTCAATAAAGACGTGGATAGGGCTCAAAGTCAGGTTTCGTCGTCCAAAATTGAAGGCGGGCGAGTTTTCTCGTCGTTGCATAAGCTGCATCATCCACAATGAAGCACATATGTTGGAGATCCAAGCAACTACTCGTGACCCATGGTCACAGTGGAGGGCAATTTCTGACTTATTTGCCTTATTGGTTGCTTACACAATTGCAACAAACTCCGCGTAACTTCAAGAATGTGTAAGGATCTATAGCCACTTCGTCATTTCAAGTAGTTAGCGACTTAATATGGTCACCCTCTGAAGTTTCACATTTGTTGCTGTAAGATGCATCGATACGACCCTACCTGGGTTTCATGTGGAAACGGTTAAAACATCGAGATTTATTTTCCTCCGATTCTTCTGTTCGTGAGTAACCTTATTCTCCGGACGTAGTTTTATCCTATTGAAGTTTGAATATATAGATTAAAGGCACTGTTCACGAAAAAATGGTCTCGGAGATTTGCACATGGTTTGAATTCGACGCCCCCCGCCTGATACCATTTGTGCAGGGATGAGGTCGGAAAACGGCTGGATAGGGCACAATAAAGGGCCGGAGAGTTATCCACGATCGCCCTACTCGCCCGAACACTCCCTAACCGCCGTTCTTTCAATGTGAAACTCGTCCAACCCTCCTTTCCAGCTNCCTTTGTAATTCCTTTTGTTCATCGTTTTTCGCGCTTTATTCTAGAGTAGTTCTATCGATTCCCGTCAAAAAAGGGTACCCTAAATTTATCGTAAACGGTGCCTTCAAAGCGCAGGTCATTCTTCTATCTACTGAAGAGTTCAGAGGTAAGAGGGTGGAGCATGGAAAGACTGGATAATCCTTCAAAGTGAACACTTTTCGAAAACAGAAAAGTTAGAAGTATATTTGTCTTTATTATTGTTATTAAGTACATCGTAGAATTGCATATCAAAAATTTAAATGTGTTATCCTGGATAGATTATGGTCCTTTCAACGACTACGGGTCTTCGTCGGAATCCACCGTAAGGGCTGTACGGGCCATAGGGACCATATGGACCGCCTCCATATGGGCCATATGGTCGAGCAAATCCACCATAAGGACCGAATCCGCCATACGGGAATTGTCGTTTTTCTCGGACAATTGTTGAACTGAAAAGTAACACATAGGTAAGCTGAAAAAGGTGTATCCGATGTTCTCATGCAGGCCTTCCTAAACCGAACAAATGGGCCCCTATTGTTTACGTCGAAAAATCTTATTTGACTGCCCAGTATACAATTGGCTTAAAGTGGTTAGTGTAGGTAATGGTTATTGTAGATGGTGGTTTGAAGGAAATCAACTCAAAATAAGTCTGGGAATTTTCAGAAAATATAAACAAAGAGAAAACTCATACCTAGCTGTCGAGAGTATGCATACCACAAGAAGCACAATGGTTGCGAGAAAATTCATGATGGTTAGGCGAGGCTGGGTACAATGGGAAGCGACATGCCTTATATAGAGGGCGCTAGTGTACAATGCCATTCCGCGGCAATTTCTCCCCCCAACTTTCTTGTTTCTAAGATTCGCTCAACCATGAAAATGATGTGGTCAGCTGGACCTATGAAGGATCTCTGTAATAAGCCATAAAAAACAGAAAATCACATTCGCAGAGGGGTCTCATGAAAGTCTTCCATCGTTTGGAACTCATTGCACTCTGTTACCCCTAACAGGCAAATCTTTACGCTGCTGAGCGAAATGACTTCGCCTATTCAAAGTTCCAGGGCACAGGAAATCATTTGAAAGGCTCACCCCAATTATTTCGGTCTCTACTCTCGGTTGCCCGTAGGATAGTTGCAGGTTTGCGAGTTTGTTTTGCTTGGACTGTTTTTGAGCCCAATAAGCGAACGTAAAAAGTCTTCGGGGCTTTGGCGTTGTTAAACCCGTTTCTGGAACGCGCCTTGCACTCGAGTTCTAATCAGAATCGTATTGGCGTTTTGAATGTGGCCTGTGCAACTACTTGCGATAACCAGCCGATGTACAAGTCAGTGCTTTTATCCTCCCATACGACTCTATTACCAAATGGTCGATTTCGGAGGAGCAGAGGACTTAGTTTCCGCGGGTATAGACCCGAGATTTGACACCCATTAATTGAATTATGCTCACGTTCGCCGTACTCATCAGCAGGAGCACCATGAATTCTCGCACCAAATTTCCATCAAAATTGACGGAACTTATCATTAAATGCATATTTGGCGAGAGCAACACGTGAGTTGTTCCCATTGTTTCCCGTGTGACTTGAGAGATTGTGTAATTATGCCGGTGAACCTTGCCCGCTTTGTTCGGCACTAGAAAGACTACTCATGCCATTCATGTTCCCAAGGAGACTGTGGTGCTCATGCTGGAATTATTAACGAATAAAAAAACATGGTGAACTCAACAACCTTTTTTGGATGTCTTTGAAAAGAATGGTGAGTTCATATGAGCAATGCCCACTTGAGCGTGGACGAGTATATGTCTACCGAATCAAATAAACAACATTTTCAGGAATGACGACATTGAGCTTCCACGTATACCTATGTATCTCCAAGTAACACCTTCGTAATAGTGTGTCTGACGGAGGTCTGACCTCTAAATTCAATTCAGGACTGGTCTGAATGACGCTTAATAGCCAGCGTTCTCTGCGACCAGATAATACTGGAGTGCCTAAAATGAAAAATCTACAAAACTGCCGTACGACCATTCGTGTCTTACGGTGCGGCGTACTGGCTAGTGATCAGAGGAATTGAACCACGCCTCGGGTTAATGGTATTGAAAACGCTACGATAGATGGCTGGGTTCGCGCGTTCAGACGTATTGGCAACAGTACAATAAAGGAGCGTTTCGGAATAGCTCTTACTTGTAAAGAGGCTTGTCTTCGACGTTCATGTCCTACGCACGGGCCAAAACAGTGTTTGCGAAAGCCTTCCTATCTCCTAGGAATTTTGACATTTTTTAACAGCTCGAAGTGAAGCATACCTGTGCAGATCCACCAACAATAGACGACACTTTTATACGAATTAGGATTTATACCCTGCGCTAACATCTCTCCTGCGAGCAGCTTATATTTTTTTTTCCTTGTTTAACGGACATAGAGCATTCAGTTTTCATTTCCTGTAAAGACCACTCTTGGAAGTGCTCTTAAGCGAGTAGTATGGAGCTTGACTGCTGTCTGAGTTCATGAATCACCCTAACTGCGTAGACCTATCTTAACGGCGGTTGTATCGAGGTTTTTTGACTGTCGTATAGGATATTTCAAGTGATACAGGTACTTTTCGTATGGTAGCCTCTGAATCGGCTTTCAGAACTTTATGTATCCCACCGCCTTTTTGGTGGTGGTACTTTTGCTTCAGCAAGTCTCCCGTCTTCACTTCCGGAGCTTCTGAAGCCGTAGACACTGTAGAATGATAAAAGACATCGTGATCAAGTTCAACACCACTGGTGACCGTCACATTCTTGTGTTTCAGGAGGCGCTGGTAATAGATACATATCTGGATAAAAAATGGAATTTTCGATATAACCATTTTTATTATATCTTACTCCAGCAAGAGCTGCTTATTGGCACCTCCAAAAAAACCATTGAGTGTTGGTGCTACTCTGCGCAGATATTTCGAATATAATAGAATTGAAAGCACAGTTCATGATACTTTAGAGGCACCCTTTTCAAGTCGAAAAGCGGAAATGTTGGTGGAGAATAGTGTATCAGTGACAAAAAAAAAATCCGTCAACTTCACAAAAGGTAAGGCTTTCTGAAAGTAGTGGAAATAGGCGTTGTTTGAGATGACTATGAAGGGAATGGCATGTAGGGGGTATTTGGACAAGGTTTCAATTGTTGCAGTTGCTCAAAGGACTGCCTACATCAACCAAAAATGTCCTGAACTGTCTTTCCCTGTCGTCATGGGAAACCCTAGTTCTTCGAATTTCCAACATGGGAGTCCTAACTCGCCCGCTATGGGTTTGGATTTCCTCCCATAGTTTCACCCCGAGTTTCAACGGCACTGTAGAGACTGCATCATCTCGAAGGGGACGGATACAATCTCTTAGCTCCTATAACGCCCTATCTAAGCCGTTTACCAATCTGGCAGGGCCACATACAGTATAGAGGGACGCCACAGATAGGATTCCCTCAGATAGGACTCAAAATAGGATTTTTTAGGAACCATTCTTATCATGACGCACCTTGGATACGGGTCAAGCCTTTTTTCTGTTTTGGAAACGAATAAGTTAGGAAAGATATAGGGAATGCTCCCTATGAACTGATTTTCATTAAGTACAACCATACGCGTGTCTGTAGCTCTGGCAACTCTGATGGCCCATTTGTAACATGTGAGAAGCATATTTAGTGGCTGATCGAGGATTATTATAATACAATCCAGAGCTCCACTGAGCTCGGTCCGCCACTCAAAACGCATAAAACTGGCGTCACCTTTTACTATTCAATTTTGCCCTTTCTTCCACATCGTCGCTGTTCATGGACAAAATCTTTGGAAACCCAAAGCTTTCACGCACTACCCTACGTAATTCTTAAGACCGTTTGTCAAACTTATCCTGCCTTTTTACGGGCAAGACTCGACTCAGTGATAAAACGGATACAATGTATTTTTGGGTTACGGTCAACAGAATACATAGGCAACTTAACCTCGAACTGACAAAACCGATATCATCAAGTTGAATGACGGCGACGAAAACTTCAAATAATGGTGCCGCTGTCGCGATGGGTAGTGTAAAAGCGCCTTCTTTTGTTAGTTATGGCTCTCGTGTGATTTTATTCTTCCTTGTCTCATGAAATGACCATGAAATCATTGCGCTTGACGCGCCTAAATAGGCGTCAACAACGCAACAGAGCGCCGACCAGGCAATGGCCTCGTTAAGATGAAAACTACAGGTCGACAGATCATGGATACCATTGCTGGAAGTCAACTTAAGCTTTTGTACTAACAGCTACCAAGGAAANAACAGAATACATAGGCAACTTAACCTCGAACTGACAAAACCGATATCATCAAGTTGAATGACGGCGACGAAAACTTCAAATAATGGTGCCGCTGTCGCGATGGGTAGTGTAAAAGCGCCTTCTTTTGTTAGTTATTGCTTTCGTGTGGAGTGATTCTTCCTTGTCTCATGAAATGACCATGAAATCATTGCGCTTGACGCGCCTAAATAGGCGTCAACAACGCAACAGAGCGCCGACCAGGCAATGGCCTCGTTAAGATGAAAACTACAGGTCGACAGATCATGGATACTATTGCTGGAATTCAGTTTGTTACTAACAGCTTCCAAGAAAAGGAAGGTTATCGAATTGAGCAGGTTGGCGGGGAATTCTGCCCATCTGGGCTCTCCCATTAGTCAGAAGTTCTATGAGGACGGCATGGAACCGTGGTCACCCTATCGGAGTACTCTCCAACCTCTAATAGGATAGGATCTGAGTTGAGACACCTCATTCTTCTACGGAATTGAACTTTTCTTCAATCTAACAGTTCCCTTCGGATAGCTTACTATACAACTGGATAGTAAAATCGCAAAGATATGATGTAAGTGGACACCGTTAGGTCGTCCACTAGACGGAAAGGTAGAGCAACTCCTTCACATTTGGTTCTTCCCATGAACAAAAAAAGACTGGGTTATATTTGTTTTTATTATTTTTATTAGGTACATTGTGCATATCGAAAAAATCGATGTCTCATCCTCGGTAGATTACAGTCTTTTCAATGACGGTGGGTCCTCGTCGGAATCCACCATAAGGGTTATAGGGATTGCCTCCGTAAGGGCCATATCCTCGATTGAATCCATATCCACCATATCCTCGATTGAATCCATATGGACTGTAAGGGAATTGTCGTTTCTCTCGGATGGCTGTCGCACTGAAAAATTATACATAACTATTATGAAAAAGTTTATAAGTCGGTATTTCCACGCAGGCCTTTCAGACCGGACAAAATGATGTTTTCTATCCACTTTGGAAGGTCTCATTTGCAAAATAATTTCGAGAATTTTCAAAAAAAAAATCAAAACAAAGCGTAGACTCGTACCTAACTATTGAAGCTATGCATACCACAAGAAGAGCAATGGTTGCGAGAAAATTCATGATTGTATGGGCAAGGCTGGCTATAAGGTTACGCGGACCAGCCTTTTATAGGCCGCGCTGTACACTGTCATCTCGCGGCAGTTTGTCAACCGACCATCTAGTTTCTCAGATTCGCTAAACCATGCAGGAAATGGGCTGATCAGCATAGTTGTATACAAATAAATTAGTCATAGGGCGATGTAATGGGATAGGGTTGTGCATTTAAAGGAACTGCATAAGAAGCCTGACAAAATCAGAAAGTTACATTTGCGGTGGTTTTTTTTTCTGAATGCAGTCGTTTTCGCTCCCATGAGACCCTTCCGTCTCTTGGAGGTGAGGGCGGAAAGTCTTGTCTAGTCAGGGTATCGGAGTACAGCGCGTACAGTGCGTTCGAGACCCCAAAACAAGTAGGACTCTCTTCAATGCGATGGGCACCTCATTTGGAACGGAAGAAAAGTCTTTGGCGTTGACTAATCCCGTTTTGGGTCGCGCCCGCGCTCTTGACTTCATTCAGAATCGTAGTGGAGCTTTGAATGCATATGCGGCCTACACAATGATTTGCGGTGGCCTGCCGATGGACAAAGCAGTGCTTCTGTCCTCCCAGACGGGATTGGCACCGAATAGTCTATACCAGGGTAGCAAAAGTCTTGGTTGGCGCGAATAGTGATCGTTCCCTAGAACATGCGCTGCGCATGTGTCAGGGAGCTACTTACCACTAACCATAAAAACAGTTGCAGTTCAGCTCCTTTTTTGTTGAGGCATGTCCAGATTCCTAGCTTATGCTAACCTGCTTGGACATATGAATGACGTGGGTGGCTTTTCTTTTGTCAAAGCAGGGCAAGGACGTTTCGCTTAATTACACACTCTCATACGTCACGCTGGACACGATGGCACACCTCACGTGTTGCTTTCGCCAAATAAGCATTCAAATCTTTGATCTTTGAATGGAGGAATTCAAAGTGCTCTCACTGATAATACTGACAAGCCAAACTACCCACGTCGGTCATACTGGGATGGGTTAATATTCCCTAACGCATATACACAGATGTGGCTCATGCCTTGTATCATCGAGAGGGAAAAAGCTCTTTTCTCTCGGACAGTCCAAGAAGGTTATTGTGCTTGAAGTCATAAACCATGACAATAACAAACTCTAGTGTCCTTAACAACCTTCTTCTCTACCTCCAAGGTAAACAATTGTAATTAGGTAACCCAAAAAGTTGCGCTCTTCGGTACGTGTGAGAGTTGAACTTGCATTGAATCCTTCTTTGTGCTATCTGATTTACCTTTATTTCCTCGTAGTCGAGACGACGTAGAGACCCTACTCTAATCCGACGAGTCGAGTGCGAACAGCAGCACCTACCTCTGCCATTTCTCATTTCCGTCAGGGTTAACCAGGGCTCTTTACTTTTCCCACTAGTACTGGCTGTCGTTGGGGAGCCATCACACGACATCTTGACAGCTCACCGCCGTGGACGCTTCTATATGCAGAAGACGTGTTGGCCTGTGAAAAAAAGAAGGTACTCGAACAACAGATGTAATCTTGGACCGACCGCATGGCAATGTTCGGAATTTGGCTGAACGTCAAAAAAATCAAAGCACCATTAAGATTGACGGCACTGACCTCACGCTTACATCAGTTTTTAGTATTTTAGATCGGCAATCGCATCTGAATGTAGTCTGGACGGCGAAGTAGGTTCATGTGCCTGTTCTGATGGCTCGCCTCCTTTAAAAAAATACTAGAGACCTCGAATCAAGGTTTTACAAAACCGTCAGGATCAGTCGCGATTCACTGAGCGAAGCGAAGGTCTGAAACCAGGAAACCCTTATGGCAAATGTGCAGTGAGGAGCGTTTTGGAACCCCTGTTGTAGACAAAATGCGCGAACCTCGTCTTCGGTTGTACAGTCATAAACTACACTCGGCCAGGATTAGAGTCTGTAGAAACGGCTTCAAACTTGACGTGCCCAGAAAACGGTCTAAGGACGACCAAGGTATCGCTCCCGGACGCCTTACCCGAGGACACGAAGTTAGTTAGCCTTTCCGGCCAATATCGTAGACCTCCATTTGTGTAGCACCCGCTTACGCGTCCTTCCCAACGAAAATTGCTCTGAAAGAGTTATGATTTTCAGGAACTGTTCCCAAGGATGTGATTGAGCTGTGATGGAATCGATGTCTGAATTTCTGCAGAAGCTATCGTCTATTGTGATGATGCTCTGCCTCTCCTGTGTCTCCTTTGTCATTTGTTCACCCATTCCTCGTCTCTGGTCCTTCTTCTGAGCGGATGGGTCGTTCTGAAGTGAATCAGGAAGTTTTGCACCTGGGCACTACTCAATCTGTTGCGCGTTGCATCCCTTGTGTGGGCAGTTCCGGTGAGCCCACATTTACTCCTTCCGTCTTGTCCGATGCCACATCAATCCCGAACTCTACACGATCTCTCTATGTGTTTCGTTAGGTAATACCTACCTTCCTGCCAGACGGACGGACAGATGAACAGAAGGGGACGTTGTACGTATAGTCAGAGTGAAGACATCTTCTCTTCCACTACAGAATACCGCTAGACAGGACCGAGTGTGGAGTCGCAAAGATAGGCTCATCAGCTTAACCTTTGGGATCGAATTCGAGTACTGCCACCGCTACCCTTCATTACTTATTTCACTACCCTTTTCTTTCGCTGAAGAATTGTTTGCTATGTATGCTATGTGATCCACAAGGCACCTCCTCCCAGTGACACTTGCGCTTGACCAGGGCCTCGGAACGATGTATTACTAGAGTAATGGAACAAAATCTTAAAACAGATGTGTGCTGCTCTAAATGACTGCCATGCAACTGCAAAGGCTTTACCGATATTGTCGTTTTCGAAAGCCTAGCTATAGATTTTCTTTTTCGAAGCTTCTGCATACTGCTAAACAATCAGCTGATTGTTGACTGATGATTGAGCTGTTATTACTGAATATCGGGAAGCTCAACCAAAAATCAAACTTTGATCTGTTGTTCGATGTCTACTGATAAGCAGCAAGAGATACGAAAGGCTTGATCCTTCACTAGCAACATAACAGCTCATAGAGGAAAATGAGAGCATGGCAGCGTCAAGAGAAGGTAGAGGCATGGTCCGAACACCATATCTCAGACTGAAGTCTCTCAGTCGCCAAAACCCTCTGTCCCTCTTTGAGGTCGGCTTTGAAGAATCGTGCTGATCTTGAACAAGTTGTTCATTGGCAGATACCAGCAAATCATTACCTGGGCTAAACAGCCGCTCAAGCAGCCTCATGAATATCAACCTAAAAAAGAATCAATCAACGTAGAAAGCTCTATTTTTAACCTATTTTGTGGGTTTTGAACACTGATTCATGTCAAATTGATCTTTGTACCTCATAAATCATTCTTTTCAGTAGCAAGGGATCATTTAAGTGAGAATGTCAGGCTTTATTGCCCTGAATGCAATTCAAAAGGACTGATCTCGGATCATGTAGGTGGTACCGGTACCGCCTGATTTTACCCCCTCATCTCTGAATCCTGAATGGACCAATTCAATCTATGGCATTTATAATCAAAAGCTCTAACACGCTATAACTAGCACCAGTCTGTATCGTCCAATTTTGTCTTGAGAGGTTATCCAATGATCCTTACCTCGGTACATGTCATCAGAAGTTTTCAGAGGTCTGATGCTTTATGATGAAGAGATCCTGCAATTCCCTCCTCCACCTCCCGGCTTTTTTCTAACCATGCAATTCTCAATACGCTCGGGAAGTCTGGTCTTGGGTGAGTTGTTACCAGATTTCACTAAACTTTCTGGGTTCTTCCTTTTCTGACAATGCAACAAGAAGGAGTCCAGAAACGACTCATCTGGCCATTCAAGCATAACCAACAAAGATTTATCGCCCTCTTAGGTGACCATACAATCCATTGTTGCCCGAACATCTAACCAGGCATATCAGTTTACTCCCTGGTCCCTGAATTTCCGGGAGTAGCCCTCTTTGAGAAGGACTTGACTTAGGCTCATGTTTCAACATTGAAAGCAAGGTTTCTCCATTGAAATTCATGTCACGTACTATGTCAGTTCGATTCGTCCTTGTATGGCTACCTACCTCTACCTACAACTCGATACTTCTGTTGTTCAGGTGTTGCAAACGAATCCTTTTAGACACTCCGTGAATAAAGGGTAAAGCATATAAAAAAGTTCATTTCTGGGATGCTCCCCTGCATTCGCCGTCCCGTAAGAATTTAGGGACGTTTGAATGCGCAAGTGTCAGTAACCCTCGATGGCCAGCCCATGTACTGGTCAAGGCTTTTATCTTCCCAAATGACTCTACAGTGCCAGTCTAGGCATGGAAGGTTCAGTTGATACATACAGATGTCAAAGGATTCGGTCCCGATCTCTGGGCGTACTAGTGCGCGCCCATTCACCACTACACCACCTCCGTTTTCGGCCCTTCGATTAGCCCAAGAACTCAATATAACAAATTTAAGTGAGAAAAAAGTGGTAAAAAACATTTCATTTCCAAGTATTTGGAATAAACAAACTATCATAGGTGTGGTATTAAAAGAGAAATATATTTAGAAAATTTGCATAGAAAATCTGCATAAAAATAATCTCTACATAATATAGTTGTTATGCTGTATGTTGACGTCTTATTCACCTATTTTTAAATCTCCACTCGCTCGTGACGTTTACGGCTTAATCCCATGAGTATTACTGAATCAAAAACAGATTTTTATTTATGCCTTGGCCCCTTGTTTGATTCGCGAAGAAAGTATCAGTGCAAGGTTGACACATAGCGAACAGAAGGCAGAGAGGCAGAGAGATAAGGAAGCATATAGACAGAGAGACAGACAGACAGACAGACA